GTGAAACTGAATACTTTGGCATGTGTTTTCTGTCCATGGAGCAGCACTGCAATAGTATAAGATGCGGTCATGACATTTCACAAGTTTTGCTGACACTTTCACAGATGGGTACAGTCTGTACTTGAGAGATTCCTCAGCAAGATGGGTTCAGGTTTTAAAGATATTATGGTGGCACCAAATCCAAATTTATTCTTTGTGTACCAATAAATCCACACTGTCTGGACCTATGTGACAGACTTATACCTGCCATTCCCTATGGGTATGGGTATTTTGCGCTGGTAAAAAGCGGTGAATATTCCTCTCCAGTTTTAGCAATTTCCTCTTAGCATTGATATGCATGTTTCGATATGACACTTAAAGGTTGTGTAATACGTTAAACCATTTAAAGCAACTGATTGGTTTCATTATGGCTTTATGGGCGTGGTCAAAAATATTTGACTGTGGCCTGGCAACGTGAGCAACAGTCCAACAACTATTGTTTTATTTTGATACAAATGTTACTAAATCCTGATTGGTGTAGGAGATGTGAGGTCACCTTTTTTGTTTAGTTTTTTTATTTAAAGTCCACTCCCCTCCACGCACACACACACACACACACACACACACACACACACACACACACACACACACACACTTAATTGTGAATCTTTTAACAATTAGAGTCAATGATTATTTACAGACATACTGACGTTTTAAATAAACAAGTGGACACAAAAAACTTACTAAGCACTTACCTGCTCGATCTCATCTCTCTAGTTGTGTCCACTCATCACATGCTCATCTCGCCGGCTTTTAATGACCTGTTCTTGGAAAGCACATGAAAAACTTATAAACTTCGTTCCAGGAATTAGTTTATAAATGTCATATAAAGTTTATTTTAAAAGGCAGAGCCTGGGTGAAAGTTTCAATACAATAGCACAAAGTTATATGTGGCCAAGTGGGCAAAGAAATTGGGTTTAACAAAAAAGCTTTGCAAACACCTCACTTGTAAACTGAGACATTTAGGGCTGGACTGATTTCTCAGTTGAAAATGTCGCAGAACGTGGCTAATGTGTTTAGACGTAACTGTGGTTTGGATTTCTGTCTTTCTTGATAAAATGTTGGTTAGAGCAGTAAAAGGAAATAATAATGGCAGATATTTAGTTTGAAACACTTACATTGGTGTATGTAGTATGCATGTACTAACAGTATTTATCCTGTTGTACATGATATTCTTATTAGTCAGATGGGATGCAAAACTTCAAGTATCTAAAAGGGTTCCTTTTAAATTGTCACAATTAAGCTATAATTAATATTAGATTATTGGTTTGCTGTGCTTTTTATATATTTTGAGTTCACATGGCTGTCATTGTGAAAGAGATTGGATCAGTTAAATAAAGGTAAAATAAATCATATTGACTGTGGATATCCTGAAGTGCAATATTTTTGTTACTACACTGTTTTAATATAGCCATATATTGTTTCTATTCTGAGGTACAATATCTTTTTTATATGGACCATTAATAATGTTCCAAATTTTCTTTTGTACATAACTAAATCTGAGACATTAATTAAATCACAGGAAAAGAAATGTGTGTAAAAAGTACTGAAAATGTAAACTGTAATGCTTTAAAAAACGAACTAGTTAAAAGAAGCCATCAGGTAATCATTAAAAACATCAGCACAAATATCTGGGTGCCCCTTTCCCAAGAATGTTTTTGTTTCCTGGAAGGTTTGTTGGAGCATTAAATTACTCTGAGTGTTCTGGCTAATCATGCACTCCTATCACTGTGGAGAGATTCAAAAAGCCATTTGTGATGGAGAAGCATTTTGACAATATCCTCCTCTTCTCAACAGTCAATTGGGCGGGGGG